TGTACCCTCCCTCTCGCCCGTTAACAGTTGGAGATAGGCACCAGCACCCCTCGCTACCCCATCTGGGATAAAGCGTGACGGAAAATGGTTGGATGGATGATTTTTGGTTTATTGTCACGAATAATAAAAGAACAATGTTTAAAAATGATGGTTTTATAAGAACATTTGCCCGAACCAATCTATACCTTGGTAATTGAGGACCTCTTTTGTGGGAAACCTTTATTTGTCAGGTTGAAAATGTTTCCTTTTGAACCAATTTATTTTTAGGAATTTTTTTTTCCAAACACACACTTTTTTCAGGTTTATTTATTTATTTATTTATTTATTTATTTTTTACAAGGTTTATGGCCCCAATTTAGCTCCATATTGTGTTTGTGTAAAGTAAATCTTTCTAAAGAGCGATGGCCAAGTGGTTAGGGCATAGAGCTTGGAATCCTAAGGTACTGAGTTTGAGTCCCGCTCCTACAGACTGCCACTCTGGGTCCCTGAGCAAAGAACCTTAACCCCTGTACTGCTCCCCATGGGGATGGGTTAAATGCACAGAGTTAATTTCGTTGCTCTGTACTTGTGACATTGTAATGTAATGTAATGTAAAAAAATAAATGTATGGGGAAACCTGCAGGTGAAAATGTGACCATCTCTATTTCTATGGAGGAATAAAACCTGCTGAACTGGACGATCATTCCTGCTCTGATTAGTGGACAAAGATAAAAAGGTACTAGAGGTCCTGCTGGTAAGATTATTCATGACATCATCTTTGCTGAGTCAGTATTTCTTGGCGCAATCCCTGAGATTTTGTTACAAGTTGCTTAAAGCTTTAAAGCATCTGATGAGTTCTGCAGTCCAAACCTGAGGCCTGCAGCTTAGGATGAACCCCCACACTGACAGCAGGGTCCCAGGCAGACCTAAGCTGAGGATGAGACAGTAGAGGACAATAAAGGGGCCCATCTGGTCATTGAGGATGCATTCCTTCCCCTCTGAAGCATTTCCTGAGGTGATGTTAAAGGAGGGAGTCATCGTGATCAGCTCGGTCTGAATCTAGAACACACAGAGGTTCCTGTTTGCGTCAAAGACCTCAAAGGGGAAGCGAAAGTAGACGTGTTACAGGTGTGTTTGCTGCTTACTGTCAGCTAAATTCAGAGGCTGCTGCTGCTGCAGGCTGGTCTTCTGTTCAGTCGCATTCAGCTTCGCTGTCTGCTGAAAAAGATCTCATCTGTTATACATTTAAAGGCTGACACACGACACATTCAAAAACTCCATCAGTTCTTCTTCCACCAAACTTTATACAATCATTAATCTAATGAGATGAGAAACTAATCATTATCATAAACTAACAGGTTTGTGTTGACATAATTCAAAGTTGATAAGAGAACAGAGATGACTCTGAAAAAAATCAGCTGCCCTGCAACGATTAGATCATTGTTTCCGCCCTCATCATGCCTTGGTTTCTCCACCCGTTTTTTCTGCCTTTATATGCGTCTCTCTGACTGACAAACATTGCCAGATTATCCAAAGTCATAGTGTAATATTGTAATATATTGGCAGATGCATTTGCTGCCCATTTTCCCAACTTTTTCAAGAAACATCTCAACAGATGCTGCTTTTTAAAAAATCTTTAAGCTCTTTTTAAACTGTTTAAACTCTTATAACCCTAGTCTCATAATGTCAAGCAGCGACATCAAGGGTTTGAGGCTGGGAGCAAAGTGAGGGAGAGACAGAAGCTGAGCAACAGACCAGAAAGAGTAACACCCAACAGAAGATAAGATCAGGCACTAAGCTTGTCAAAATTCAATAAATCTGCATTAACGCATTTTTGAGCAATAAAGCATATAAAAAATATAATCTCAGATTAACTCTACTACAAAATCGGATAAATATTATTTCTCTCCATTACGGTGAATTACAAAAATAGAAAGGTTAGAAAATAGAAATTGACCTTAATTTAAAGGGCAACAAAACTCAAACTGTGAAACCTGCTTGTAAAGGAATCAGGTTTCAGATTAAACTGGAATTATAACAGACTAAATGTTTGGAGTTGGTGGTTTTTCTAAAGTGAGCTTATTGTTTAACTGCTTTAACGCCACCTTTGCCCGTTGCTTATTCCTGCTTCCATGGCCCTGACTTAGTCTTTGTCCCGATTTCTACCATTGCTCAGGTCGACTTATCCCCGAATTTATCTTTTTTAGCCTGAAGGTTTAACCTTTAGAAATGATTTCAATATGAAGAGAAATACAACTAAAATAAATCAGAAAATTCCAAAGGTATCACTTCTAATCACTAACTTTTTGTAAGTGTGTAAAGGTGGCACCTAAAAGCTGTTTTTTTATTCTAAGTTAAACATTGCGGATTTTACTTTGCTTTATTTGTGTGTGATAAAACAAAGTAAATCTTGGGCTGAATGATTTAAGCTCTGCCGGTGGTAAGAGGTTAAAAAATTCACAATCCCCCTGCAGTGCCTCTCTGACCTACTAGGATGCAGTGACCTTTATTTTAGCATCAAATGTTACTCTATATATCCTAGAGCTGAAGTTTGGACCAAACGGGGTCATTAACAGGACAATGATCCGGAACACAGCAGCAGTTCCATAACAGAAGGGCTGGAAAAGGAAACCAAAACAGTTCTTGTATGGTCTAGTCCAGTGACCGTCCTGCGAATTTTACACCCATAAAGCTCAGGTGTGGTGCAGGAAGGAGAGACCTAAAGCTAACATGATAGACTGAGATCAAATGGCTTACTCAAAATCTAGACCTGAACCTAAGAAAATTGCTGTAGTGGAACCTTCAGAGGTCATTGAAGCAACTTTGGAGTAACGAGTGGACCAGAACATCTCTTTAATCTTTAAAATAAAAAAGAGAAATCACATTAATCATATTTTAACTTCGTTTTAATGGCTTCCTGTTAAATCCAGAATATGATTTTAAATCCTGCTTTCAACACATAAGGCCTTAAATGGCCAAGCTCCATCTTATATCAGAGATCTGATTGTTCCTTATGTTCCTTACAGAGCACTTTGCTGTCAATCTGCAAGTGTTCTAGTGGTTCTTAGAATTTGAAAAATAGGAGGCAGATCTTTTAGTTATCAGGCTCCTCTACGGTGGAACCAACTGCAAGTTTTAGTCTGTGAGGCAGAATTATCGACTGAAAGACATTGGCTGGGCTTCCTCAGTAGCTCATTATTACGTTGCACTGATTATATGTTCACAGAGTGGATTTAATTTAATCTTTTTTTTTTTCTTTTTTTTTTTTACGTTTCTGTGGGGTTAAATTTTCAGTTTAGTCCAAATTCTTTAAGCCTCTGTATTCAGTTTTGGTGAACCTGGGCTTACTATAGTTTAATAACACCACCTGTGCAAAGAGGAAACTGAAGCCTTTAAATTCATCTCAGTAACTTCCTGAAACATTGTTCTTGGTTTTTCTCAGCTTGGTTTTTCTTGATTGATGGTCAAACCTCTAATTAAGAACTCAGAGCTCTAATTATTCTCAGTGAACTTATTGCAAACTTTTTCAGGGTTACTGTATGTTTTATTTGCAATCATCAAGCAAAACCACATGAACAGTGGCTCAAAATAACAAGCTGAAGAGTAAAACATTGGTCAGAGCAAAATTAACAGATTTAGCATCTGAAGCGTTTGCGCCTTTACTGAACATCCTGTTCTCTGCGCTGCAAAAATTATCTACAAACAAGTCTACATTTCTTAAAATAAGTGTATATACCCTTAATATCAGTGGGCAAATAAGGTAGTTTGCCAATGGAATTAGTATTTTTACTCTTAAAATAAGATAATTAGATAAGGGGCGACAGTGGCATCGGGTGCAGGAGTTTGCCCTGCAATCAGAGGGTTGTCGGTTTGAGCACCAGCTCCAGCTTTCATTGTCGTTGTGTCTTTGGGCAGTACACTTCCCCTG